AAATTTCTGATAGGAAGTAAGAGAAGTTGCAGGCGTTGGCTGGTGTAATACCTGTATTTGGGTTTCTGCATACCCAACAGAGTTACCTAACTTTAGGTTTGAAAATCTGGCCCTTGTTGTTCACAGCTTTATATTTAAAGCAAGCCGTCCTAGCAGGGAATTGCAGAAATGAAGTCCCACAACTCTCTGGTGAAATAAGGAAGCTTATTTTCGTGTTGATGGGGATATTCATCACTAATGGAGGTTTTCAGTGGCTCATTTTTTTCCAAACAGGATTTTAACAGAAACATTTTCTTGAGCAGAGGCTGTGCATTGAAGATAGAGGCTGTCTTCAAAATGACCGTCACCCCCCCACCACTGGTGGTACCATACTTACCCAAACGAGCATGCCCATGACAGTCACTGCCAGTGGCCACAGTTAGTGTTAGGAAAGCAATTGGTGCCTTTGAGACCACTAAATCGCAAGAAGATAGATGAAAGGGAGAAGAGCCCACACGGTGTGCCTCACTAGTTCAGACCATTCTCTTTAAGGATCAACAAGAATCCTGAAGCTTGGAATAGTTTTATCTGTTGAAGTGGCTGATTAGTTTAGCTCGTTGTACGTGGATATCCAAGTATCTTCTTGACATCGTTACAATCTCACAGCATTATAAATTCTAGGGTTTTGGTTTTTAACAGACAGACACACTGCAAGCAGAATAGTCTCCTTTCAGGTTAAACTGCCTTATCTCTTGCTAGGTGCTTTCTGTAAAAGAGGTTCCAAACTAAACAAGAGGGCTTAAAATTTCTGTGCTCAAGTACAAGTCTGTTTCTCATGCTCCACAAATGTATTTTTTTTAAACTGGAGAATGGATGCATATTAACAACTCCACAACTTAAAAATATATTTTGTGATGTATAAGCCTAGCAAAACATTTTAAACCAGTGATACTGGAAGGAGGTTATGCAGAAATCCAATTAAACTTATGAAATCCCTATCCTGTTGAAGTATAATTTAAAGGAAAGCAGTTCTGTTTCCCAGAAGTGCTGTGTATAATATTTCTGGCTTGGGAAGAAAGGGTTGGAGTGTGCTATTTGGCTGGAAATCGGTACCAGCTTCCTCCATGGTGTTTGAGTTGAACAGTGTTGACATTCTAACAAATCCTGTGGAAGCTCCCCTGAAGTGGAGGAGTTAGCTGTTTTCTTGCCTTTACAGTGAAATATCTGTTGGATATCACGATCGAGTTCCAGTAACCGAGTCGTACTGCCTTTGCATTTGATGACCAGTGGCATTCTTGGTTTAACACCCTATAGAAGCCCTAAATTGCTGGAGGAAAACCAAATATTTCTGAAACTTTACAGCTACTGTATTTCGCACAATCATTAAAGTAAACAAATCTTACATTACTATGTAGCCAACGAAAACAGTGGATAAAGGGTTCAGTGTCCCTTGTTGTGTATACCTGCTTTTTTAAAAATAAATCTTCAACCCCAGATTTCTCAGCAAAGAAGTAGGATCACTTCAGAAAATATGTAACATGAGGCTCTTTTTCCCTTGCTGCAGGAACTTAAACCAAATTCTTATTTCTGCTAAATGACAAAAAGCATGTGTATAGGTTGAGAGAGAGAAAATATTACCAGCTAGTTGTTGTTCTGCTTTCTTTAAAGGAGTGAAAATAATCTCCACCTTCTTTTTCTTGCTCCCCTTCCCCCTTACCCAAAAGGAAAACATTTGAAATTGATTCAGTTCTTAAATAGAACTTTCCAACGGAAACTAGCATTACAAACATAGATATTCAGTATTTTACCCCTAGGATTTATTCAAAATAATCCGTGCCTCTACACTGGTGCTAAAAATACATTTTCCAGTTCTCACTGTTGGCCAAAGCAGGGGTTAAAAGCAGCATTCTGACTTTAATTTCCAGTACATAAAAGTAACACTGTTAAAACAATCTGTGTAAAGGCACCAGCTTGTTCCCTGACGCGCATGGCCTGAGCACTGCTCCGTTTAGCTCAGGTCTGCAGAAGGGCTGGCCAGGAGGAGCAGTCACTGCATGGCACTGCCCAGGTTTACCCCTGAGCAGCGCTGTTGCCAAGGAGGGTTGGTGGCTGCTGCAGGCAGTGGAGCGACCAGGACAGCAGTGTAAGTTTCTAGATGGTGTCTTTGGGAAGCTGAGTCCCCTGGAGTTTGATGGGGGTCTCCCTGATTCAGTATTGACTTGGAAGCTGTGGCATCCAGCAAGACATGAGGTTCACTGTAGCTGACAGTTCACATGCCAGGAGCCTTCATATCACCTGCTGATGCTGCTCACAGTTTAGAAAATGTTTTAAAAGCGGACAGCAGTTTTGTTTGGACTCAGGCTGGGTGAGGTACCACCTACACAGGACAGCTTTGAGACTCCTTTTTCGGTACAGTGTAGTATGGTGAAGTTGCACATACTTCATACCTCCTTGATGCCAGGCTTGGAAAGTGATTTAAACCTCCTGGTCCGTGGTCCGGTCTGGTCTGGATACTCCTAGGCTTCTGTTCAACTAGTGGTGTTTTCCTGCCATCTTTATCGTTTCTCTCATTCCTCATGTAAAGTGGATAAGCAGGTGTTCAGAGTATACAGAGGCTTGACCATATATATGCTCTCTGTGGGTGGTTAGGGTGGTAGGATAAGAATCGAGTATAATGTGGCAGTTTTAAGTGAAGGCTTTTAAAGAAGCCTTCACTTCAGAAGAGTTTGAAGAGTTTTAAATTAAGGTGCTTCAAATGACCTCCATGTGTGCACGTGTTTTAACACAAAGTGTTCACGGAAGGTCTCCCTGGTGCTGTGCCTGTGGATCAGCAGCAGTCTTTTACAGACTGCATTAATAACCCAGCTTAAATACATTAAGGATGATGTATATAGTGCAAAAGATCCCTTGCTGAATAAAGACCTTTCCTGTCATTCTGCCATGAAGAGCAAATGTGTTATTTCAACTAGCTTTTCTGATGTTAGAAATGCTTTACACGCTGGGTTTGAATGAAATCTGTATTTTAACCTATTGTATATGTCGCATGGAGCAAAAGAGAGTCCTCTGTGATGGATCATTCCACTCTTCAGTCTGTGTCAGACAGAGAAAATTCAGCTATGACGGAAATTTGTAATGATCTGTATTCTGATTTGCTATCCACCAAATACTTTTGAACTCTGTGAGAGGAGATGCCAGGCTCTTAAGTTTGTTTTTCTTAAGGGATGATATGTTTCCACTGTGATTTCAATAAATCTCAGTCACTGTTTATGCAGTGAAGTGGTTGGTGGATGGGGGGTTATTTTTTCTTGTAGAGGTCTGGTCCTCGTTGTGACTGTGCTGCCAACAGGAAGTCACATCCCCATGGCAAGCGAAGGGCTGGTTTTGCTCTCAGTAGTAGACAGAAAGTTGCTAGTTAGTTGATCAGAGAAGCAGTAGAAACACGCAGACAAAACCAGTTTCATAGTTTCATCTGTATGATAAATTAGCACCTCTGAAGTAATGTTTTGGAGTTTCTCAGATGGTGTTCTCTGCATAGCTGGTGCAGAACAAACAGTCTGATTGCAGTTTACTGGCTCCTGTCTTTCTTCCGCATGCTTGTGTGATGTTAAACCAGGGAAAAGTAGGAGTCACTCCACTCAGCTGTAGGATTGAGACTCTGAGGGTAAAGGTCTGAGACTGGTGGAGAGGGAGAAGCTCTGTAAGACGAGTTGGAAAGGGCATTTTGGAAAGCTCAGACTTGTTCTGATTCTGCTCCAGATGAAACTACTGCCGGGAGCTTTGATACACTCATTTTTCTTCCTCTTTTTGCCAAATGATTCAAGTTAATATAAAGGCTATAGATAGCAATCAGCTCTTCCAACTGAAAGGTGTTTTTGTCAACCAACATCAAGCAATAGCCCATAAATAGGTAATCTTAGCCTCTTTTTTTACATGAAGATTGCTTGCACGGTGACATCATGTCCATACCAGCTCCTGAGCAGGTGTACGTACACGCGGAAAGTTCTGGTTTCACGCAGAAGTCATCTTGGCTTTGTGGCTTTATAGTTCTTCCATTTCAACAAACACCTATAAATTACAGACATGCTTAAAATACCTTGTTTATGGTTTTTGAATGGGTGAATGCAAATATTTTAGGTGCTTGGGTCAGTGTATTCAAGACTAACTGGATAGTTTGAAGTTGTATTCAGAGCTGCTGTAACACAGCAAGTTCTCAGAGATGACATGCTCCCCCTACATTAGTATAGACTGATGGAGACAGCAAGCACTAAATTATGGCTATTTAAACACCCAGTTGTAGACGTTGAATTTTTAAAACTGCTTTGATCCTTTAGGTACTTTCTCCTGTATATAGCTAGCCCAAATCGGAATACCACAAGTGTTTATTGCCCCTGACATTTTAAAAAATACTATCCCTGTGGTGTTTGTAACACACTGTACCCCTTTCTTTGCACATCAGAAGCTCTTGAATAGATCTGCACACTACAAAAAATGTTTATAGAAATCTTCCTTCCCATTTCAGACCTCTTAAAAAAAGCTCTATATAACTTAATTTACCCATATTTAAAAGGTGCAAGTGTAAGTCACAAACAAGTCTGGATTGTCACGTGCAACTGCTTTTTCCCCCACTCCGTCTCATACTGAGATGAGTGTAAGGGAGGGTATTTCAGTCTCATGCAGGTTTTTTTTTCTCTGTGATTTTCTGTACCATAGCTGTCTCCAATTTGTATGTTTGAAGGTTTCTTATATTTTACCGAGGTGTTAAATCACAGAATCACTGAATTGACAGGGTTGGAAGGGACCTCTGGAGATCAGAGGGAAGAGCAAGATTCACTGGAAAAAGAAAAGGGCTGTTAGTTTGGGGCCTATTGAATAGATATATGAATAATCAGGAAACATCAGCTCCTGTGTTGTCATTTATTTCTGGTTTAAATTGAAGAGCATTGCCATGAAGTGCAATCTTCCATCAGTTTTCTCCTGAAGAGTGAGAGCTGACAGCGTCCTCTCTCTGTGCTCTCTTTCAGGTGAGAAGCCATACAAGTGCACGTGGGAAGGCTGCGACTGGCGATTCGCTCGCTCGGATGAGTTAACGCGCCACTACAGGAAGCACACGGGGGCAAAGCCCTTCCAGTGTGCTGTGTGCAATCGCAGCTTCTCCCGCTCCGACCACCTGGCTCTGCACATGAAGAGGCATCAGAACTAAAAGCTGGACTTGTCGTCGAGGCTGTTCTGTATCTATGCAATTTCCTATTGACTCTCTAAACGGAACTCAAGTTAGTTTAATTTTTGAGTATGGGTTACCCATTTAAAAGAAATCTCAAGTGAAACTGGAAATGTATATTTTGTATATTTATGCAGAAAAAGGGAAGACACTGTATCACAATACCAGAGTGTTCAGTCATTTGTTTGCTGTCATGATGTATATGGCTTTAGTCAGCAGGTTTCATCTCTTTACAAGTATTATGTCTTGACACATTGCAGCTTTGTACATTTTTTTTTTCCTCTTGCGGTGTTTTGACCAAAGCACTGTCATTCTTGTGACAATGTTTAGTAAACAAATTAATGAGAGGCTGCAGGTGAATGAACACAGTGGAAAAGCCATGAATTGTAATCTGTCAGGTTTTTACTGGACATACTTAGTACTTGTGGGGTTTTTTTTAAAATACTAAGTCATTCTGTGGAAAAAGGTACATAGAAAAAGTCATAAACAGCCATAGAACAAAACATTTTGTTCTGTATGTTGCATGTTTGCTATGACAAAGATTTTGTAAATATGCAAATCAGCTTTTTAGGTTTAATACAAAATGTTTTCTAAGAATCATCTGAAAAAAGTTGTTTTACGTTTAATAACATGGCACATTTACAAAAAAAAAAAAGTTATTTAAATACCTCTCAAAATCGTACCGACTTAGCTTCATTTTTCTTCAGAGAAATGAGCTAAGCATTCAGACATGTTGTACCTGTTAACTCAAACGGTGTGCACTGAATATTCAAAGCAGGATTTTGTTTTCAAGTTGCTTAAAAGGGCAAAAACACGAAGAATGAACCGTGAAGTCAACGTTGGAAGCTTAGCTAACGGGGATAGTTGCAAGGAACACAGAATGTTAAACCTCTTACTATAAGCTAAACTTAGTATCACTTTAAAAAGAAGGATTTAGGATGCAATTTTCATATACAGACATGTTAAGCTGGTTCAGCACCAGTGTGATCTAGTTTTGTGTGGATATTGCATGTAATTCACTAGAAGGTAAGGATACAGTAATTTTGTGTCAAATTACAGCGCGGTTTAGTTAATCCACTGTTGAGATTGACGCACGCAGGGGAAAATTTACTGCTGACAAAAGTAGCTGAAACTCCACTGAAGACAATGAGGTGGTGCCCTTTTATGCTAACAATGACTTTGATCCACCGTGTTCAGCCTTGAAATAGTAGATGGAGGGCCAAAGATGAGGTTAGACCACATAGGATTTGGCCAGACAACAGGAGAAAACCAAACAAACCTAAGAAGTGTCTGGACTTCACAAGCCGTAACATTAAGCTGTCAACCAAAGGCTAGAATAGACAATCAAAATACCAAAAAAAGGGTCTTGCAGGAAACCTTAGCTTTGTTAAAACTGTTGTTTGTCTTTATTTATTTGTGGTATATGATAGACTCTTTTTTTTTTTTTTAAGACAATTTTACATATACTTGATAAATTATAGTTTTGTTTGTTATAGTTAGAAATGTTGCTCTTAATGTAAATAGTTGACACACGATGTAAATAATTTTGTAAGGCTTCAAATGTTTATACGTGGAAACATGCAGAAATTGGTCGCTGTTTTGCTTCTTTTGCCTCCCTCCCCACCTTATTTTTGTATTGTGGTATTTCCTATGCAAATGACAGAGCAAACAGCTGTATAGTTGTAGAATGTTTTGAGAGAGAATGAAATGGTTTATATATAAAGACTCTTTTTTTTTTTCTTTTGCAAAATAAAACAAAGTGCCTAATGCGTGTGTGTGCGTGTGTGTGCGTGTGTGTGCGTGTGCTCTCTGTAGCTCCTGATGGGGACACTTCTCTGGTTGTGCACTGGGAGCTGGAAACTGTAGCAACATGAAGCTAAGAACGCCCATTCACAGCAAGAATTGTCTCTTTGGAAAGTACCTGGCGCTTCTGCATCCTGCCCTGATTAAAATAATAAATGTCAGCAGAGAAGGGATGGTGCTGTTCTGCTATCAGAACTTTAAAGGAAGTGTATGGTAGCCTGAAAATGGGTGATAAAGTTGTCCATCCACAGTATGATGAGGGTAAATGGGTACATGGAAGTATACCAAATTCTCTCCAACTTTCAAAGTGGATAAAACCTATTCATGCTTTTCACAACCTACAGTGTTGTCAGAAGTTTCTCCCCAAAAAAGTCCTTTCATGCCCTCAGAAGACAGCAAGGTCCTGCAGCAGTGCTGTGCAACCCCCACCCCTGCATCATACTGTCCTTTTCAGTGTTTTGCCCTTGGGAGGTGGAAGTGTGGTTCAGTTGGTAAATTGAGGTGGATGTGTATGTATGTTCAGATCTGGGGGTTACATATGTCTTCTGGTCACTTCCTCCAAGCTTAAATAAAACAGGCATGCTGAGCATTTTAAAAGAGATGTATCTTAAAACCAATCAAAGAGTCAGTTTGAATATCATTTACTATCAAATTATAATCATCCAATTAAGTCAACTGTCAGTTTATTAAAATTTCAGTTTTCTTCTGTAAACTCTGATCTCCTAAATCCTTTCTTGAATTTCTCTCCTCTTTCCTTACAACCTTTGATTTTTCTTTCATTGCTGTTTCTCTCTTAATAAGCCTCTTCCCACATCAGTTAATCTCTCCTTTTAAAAAAATACCTAGGGTAGCATTAACGAAGTCAGTGAAGACCTGGTTAATCACCAAGAAATTCTGCCTGCGTCTCACCTAACTGCACAACCACAAACATGAGAGCGGTGTGTTGGAGAGCAGGGAGAGATAACTCCTAGCAGCGCTGCTGCGGCATTCCCTTTTCTGATCCAGCCGTTAGGAAAACACACGAGTTTCTTAGGAGACTTTCTTGCTCCTAGGGGAAGCTGGCAATGAATTGGGCAATCATTCACATGCCATCACTGTGAAAGAGAGCTACCAGAGCTTATTTTGCTCAGCGCAGGGTGAAATGAGTAACACCATCGGCAGCACTGGGTGTTTGGAGCTACAAGCCTCTGTATTCAGCTCAGCCCACCAGTTTGGGGCCAGAGCAGTGATGGGTTTGGTAGCTCTTTAGTCCTGGGCAGTGAAGTCTTCTCCCATCCTGTGTTTTGTCCCAACTCCACAGATGAAGGCAGCACTTGCTTTTGAATTTCTCATGCCTTTTTACAACGAAAGCCTGCTGATTGCGTGGTTTCAGCCTCCAACATTGCCTCATACTTGTTTTAGATGTTTCTGTTGCTCAGCTACCTGGTTGCATAAACCAGCTTAATGGCTTCGTATTAATCTTGAACGAAAGGCCATAATTAGGCCCATCTACTTCAGCAGCATTTAACCTAATGCAAACAGAGACAGGCACAGCAGACCCGTGCGCTAGAATACATTACAAAACCAAAAGTAGAGGAGCTTCCTTCACTGGCAAGTGCTATGTCTGCAACACACCGTATTAATACAGTAGGTCAGCAGCATGGCTGATCTTGAAACCTGCAATGAAAAGTAGTGGCACCATAGCCCTTGCTTGTTTTGTTTAAAGCAGCTGGCACAGAGACCCCCAAGGTACTGAGGCCACCTTCAAGTTCAGCTCTCCAATTATCCTTCAGCACCTGAATTATCATTCCACATGAAGAGGGAAATTCCAGTTGGCCGTCTGGCTTTTCTGGTGGCCGCGTGAGCAGCTAGTCCTCCTCTTGACTGGGTGCTGAGTTCCTTCCTGTGGTTTTCAGTGTGAGTTAGGGCTTGATCCTCCACAGAAGTGTGCCCGCATGGGAACCTTTTGGCCTTCCTTACATGGATCTTTGCATGGAACCTTGTTTTAATCTGGTCAGTGCAGTGCCACGAGGCTCTGCCATGCTCTATAGCTACAATAGTGGTGTTGCTGTTGACCTTAATGAGAGTCCGGCTCAACAACTGACTATTAGCTGAAAGAATGTGGTGAATTACTCATGTGCTGAATAATGCATCCTGGCACTTCAAGTGTAGTAGGACAGAGGGAATTCATTGGCCACTGTAAGTAGAAGAAGCAGCCTGATGGATATGCTTTTAATAAAATTACTTTTATACTTAGCTTGTGTTTACTTATTCCTCTTCTCCTCCACTTACTCACCATTAGGTTGTTGTTGTCATGTACTGTGTTTCTAGCACCCTCACCAAAGCTGCTTGTTAGGGATTTGTGATTGGATCTGGCACAGGCCACTGGAAGAAGCCTACGGCAGATCAGGCAGAGTCCAGTCTGTCTACAGTGAACAAAGGCCCGTGTACGGCGAACGGAGAGTGCTGCGGTTCCTAAGATGTCTTTGATGTTGTTATTGTGCCTTTTAAAAATAGTTACTGTTTATGTATAAATATGTATGCAAATACATATTGGCGTGTGTGTGTGTGTACACGCGTGTGCTTTTGCATATTCGGTTCAATCCTGAATCCTGGCAAATACTTGCTTTTGACAACATGTCACGGCAGCGAGCTGTGGAGCAGCGGGGGAAGAGAAAGTGTGCTCCTGTGATTCCACACCGAATTCCACAACAATTGGGGAAATTTAAAGGTCTGTTTTCTCCTCTGTGCATACTGCACTGGGGGAAAAATGCAACAATGCATTTCTGTTTCCAAGGATTAGGTTATTTCTTTATTTTGAAGTAGTCTAAATTTGTGAGAGAGAGAGCTGTGGGGAGGGGGAGAGGCAGTATAGTGCAGAAACAAAGCTAATTCACACTGAAGAAGAGACTAACTGTTCAGCCAGGCAATTTAAAAACATGAGTTATTTCTGCAGGAGAACCTGTGCAGGTGTCAGCAGACAGAATCCTGAAATGAGATCTCTGGTTTATCTTGTCAAAGAAGACTTCACAGAATCACATAATCATGGAATAATAGAATGGTTTGGGTTGGAAGGAACTTGAAACCTCATCTAGTTCCAACCCCTGCCATGGGCAGGGACACCTTCCATTAGACCAGGTTGCTCCAAGCCCCGTCCAACCTGGCCTTGAACACTGCCAGGGATGGGGCAGCCCCAGCTTCTCTGGGCAACCTGTGCCAGTGTCTCACCACCCTCACAGTAAAAAATTTCTTCCTAATGTCTAATCTAAATCTACCCTCTTTCATTTTAAACCCATCATTCCTTGTTCTGTCACTACATGCCCTTCCAAAAAGTCCCCTCCAGATTTCTTTTATGTCCCCTTTAGGCACTGGAAGCTGCTCTAAGGTCTCTCTGGAGCCTTCTCTTCTCCAGGCTGAACAAGCCCAACTCTTTCAGCCTGTCTCCATAGCAGGGGTGCTCCAGCCCTCTGATCATCTTTGTGGTCTTCTCTGGACTCACTCAAGCAGGTCTGTGTCCCTCTTGTGTTGGGTGCTCCAGAGCTGAACGCGGTACTGCAGGTGGGGTCTCACAAGAGCAGAGCAGAGTGGGGGAATCACCTCCCTCAACCTGCTGGTCATGCTTCTTCCTCCTCCCTTAGCTCTGCTTATCTTTCGCAGTCTCTATGAGATCTCACCTCTGCTGGCCATCAGTCTCAGGCTTGATTCATAAGTCCCATCGTTCCCACAGCCCCAGTTACTGCTGTTGCTCCTTCCCACCCCACCAGCAGCTGGTGATGGGCTTGGGCTAGTGCTGCCCCTGCCCCTGCCCTGCTGCTGCACTGC